GCTTCCTCGCTTCTCAGCTTTTTGGCTTCTGGCTTTTTGGTTTCTTGGCCTCTTGGCTTTCTGGCTTCTTGGTTTTTGGCTTTTTGTGGTTTGGGTTCTTGGCTTCTTGGCTTCCTGGCTTCTTGGTTTTTTGGTTTCTTGACTTCTCGGCTTCCTGCCTGGCTTCTTGGCTTGCTGGTTTATTAGCTTCCTGACTTCCTACTTTCGACTGCTTGACTTCTTAGCTTATCATGTGGTGGGTCTAGGGTCCTAGCAAACTCCCCTTATTACAATCATGCCTTGGTGGGGCTGCTCGGCCATCAGAACGGGATGTGCATCAACCAAGCAAATAAGGATCAAGACAAATCAAATGAGGATCAAAAAAAAACAAATGAAAGCAGCTAAGGATCAAAAAATGAAGATTCCGTTTCACAGGCAATCAACGGGGAAACCTATGTCAGGAAGTAAGGAAGGAGGGATAAAACAAATCAAAATGCTCAGTTGAGACGAACGGGAAGATCCTGTACCAGGCAGCAAAAGACCGTCACCACAATGGAAAGATCAGCCACCTGGTGCTTAGTAGGGAGGGAAAGGTTGGATCCCCTATAGTAGCCCCTTTATTCCCGAAGAACAATCCCAGAGATGCATGCCCATTTCGCATGAAGCACCCGGGAGCCAGATTCATTGCGTAACATCGACAATCCGGGCGACAAGTATAGGCCTTTCATCTTGGAGTTCTTATATACTTGTTAATACGGTTTAAGTGTTTAGGGTTTAGGGTTATGCCTTCCAAATTTTCCATAGACCAAAGTAAAAGGATAAGGAGGGTCAAGAAAGCATGTCGCGTTAACTGGAGGATGGCCTCCTACACGGTTTAAGGGTTAAGGGTTGTAGCGCTTTAGAGTTTGGGGTTTGGGGTCCCCTGGTCGTTGTCTCTGGGTCCTCTGGTCCTTGGATGCGCTCTTGGAAGGTTACGAGTACTGCAAAAAGTAGCATTTGGAGGTTTTGAAAAGCTAGGACGAATGCAAATGACAGCATTTGCGGTTCTTGAAATGCTACGAATACGGTCAACGACACGATTTTGAGATTTTGAAAAGCCAGGAAAACTGCAAAGTACAACGTTTGCGGCTCTTGTAAGATGAACGCCTGTTTGCGGAACAAGAAAGGCTACGAACGTTGTGAATTATAGCATTGGGAGCTCTTGGAAAGCTACGAACAAATGTTTCAAATTCTTACATTTGCGCCTCTTGGAAGAGTATACATACTGCAAATAACAGCAATCTCGTAAAGCAATCACATGGCAAAACGCGTTGCAGTACAAATCCATCAGAAGGGTGCACGAAGATATCGTGTTCTGATCTTCGTCCGTGTTTTGCATGTGGGGGGGGGGCTGCGCCCCCCCCAAACCCCCCCGCTATTTCGTAATGCAAGCACGATGCAACAAAACAACTTATCAACGGTTGCAAGAAGCTAGTGTGTTCTGATCTTTGTCCATGCTTTTCACATGGGGGGGGGAGCTGCGCCCCCCGCACCCCCCCACCATTTGTAATGCGAGTGCGTTGCTCAACAAATCCAGGTCTGCAAGAAACTTCGTGTTGACATATTTGT